ACCCAATGTTGATGTAAAATGTGTCCAAACCTATAAAGAATTTTATGAGTTTATTTGAGCCAAACTGACAATTGTCCAGAAGCAAAATCTCTACTGGATTGAGAAAATGCTCCGGAGAATGGGGGATTTTGCAGTTTAGTTCAGACATTAGAATACAAGGAGGACACCTGAGGAGGGTTACATGAAATCCATTGGTGATAGATTAAGGGGGCAGGAGAAAGCAAATTGGGGAAATCCCTGGGATTGGATAAAAAGGCAAAATGGAGAAACATCTGGTTCATTTACATTGGTGGGTACAGGAGAGTTAATAGTTAACATTTACAGCACATACAGATGGAATGTGGGAGAACAAGAGAGCGTGAGGGGTTCTGTGATCTCTTCTCTGGTGCAGCTGTTGTGCCCTGAGGGGTCTGGAGAAAGAGATTAGGCTGACCTTCCAAAGGTATGTTTTCTTAGATGCAAAAAGATAATACTCAGACTCACAGAGGTAAAGATTGACCTTTGGCCGAAACCGGTTTGGCTCAGTGGATAGAGCGTTGGCCTGCGACTGAAAGGTCCCAGGTTCGATTCCAGTCAAGGGCATGTACCTGGGTTGCGGGCACATCCCCAGTAGGAGATGTGCAGGAGGCAGCTGATCGATGTTTCTCTCTCATCGATGTTTCTAACTCTCTATCTCTCTCCCTTCCTCTCTGTAAGAAATCAATAAAATATATTTAAAAAAAAAAAAAGATTGACCTTTGTCAAGGAAGCTACAGACCGAGGACGTGACTGTCCCCCATGACTCACTTTTAGTTAGGAATTTTTGTGTTCAGAACATCCTATATGGTTACTTTCAGTCTCTGAGTTTTTAAGGCCCACCATGCAAACTTCCCCTGAGATTGTCAGGTTTAGTAAGTAGCCCCTTTTTTGTCCACACCAACATCCATGAAATAACTGAAGGGACTTCGTAGTCGCTGGATTTAAAGATTACTTTGGTTTGGAAATAAACTAATAAACCCTTTCCTCTCAGTAGCCAACTTCTTTTTAGTAGTGTTTCTTTTCTCCAGATCCAGTCCATATTTTCCTTAACCAGCTGCTTTTCGAAAGCAAACATACCTAGATATATGGAAAACTAGACAGAACCGAGGCTCTAAAATTTCTCCTGATAATAGGACAAGATCAATGCTATGTGCTTATTAGATGCTAAGGGATTTAAAATTACATTGGGGCCTTGACTTACGAGTGTCCTGACTAACGAGTTTTTTCGAGATATGAGCCGTCTCTCGGCCGATTTTTTGCTTTGAGTTGCGAGCTAAAATTCGGGTTACGTACGAGCCAGCTTCAGATACCCCACTGCTAGTTGGCGCAGTGAACGTCACAGTGATTTGACATACGAGTAATTTGAGTTATGAGCTCCGTCACGGAACGAATTAAACTCATAAGTCAAGGCCCCACTGTATCGTAGAAGAGTAATATATTTATAACTGTAAAGTCAGTTGCGTACTGTCTCATTTAGGGTGATAAACATATTCAATAGCTTTGCAAACCAAAAATAATTTTTCTTCAATTAAAACTTTTTTAAAAACACATTTTGAAATTTCAACCTATTTTATTGATTTAAAAAAAAATTTTAGAGCATGAGGAAAGGGAGAGAGATAAAAAAAATCAATGTGAGAGAGAAACATTGATTGGTTGCCTCCTGCAGGCACCCCCACTGGGGATCAAATCCAAAACCTGGGCATGTGCCTTGACAAGGAATCAAATCAGCAACCTTTTGGTGCATAGGATGAAACTAAACCAACTGAGTCACACTGGCCAGGGCTCAATTAATACTTTATTATAGCAAATCTTGAAGTGAGGTACTATAAGTCTTTTAACTTTTTCAATATTTATTCTTTTTCAGCATTGCTTATCTATTCTCATTCCTATAGATTTCCATATAAATTTTCAAATCAGCTTATCAACTTTTATTTTATGCTGGGGCTTTTATTGGGATTGAGTTTATAGAACTAGAGGCCTGGTGCATGAAATTTGTGCACTGAGTGGAGGGGAATGTCCCTCAGCCCAGCCTGCACCCTTCTCAATTCTGGGACCCCTTGG